GCGTCCTTCTCCCCTCCCCCACAAAATAATACATATACATGTGTGTGGGTGGGTGGGCAATGTTTTTTTTTACATGCACACACTTGGCACGCTGCCCTATATACCAAGATCTCGACGAACAGATGCAGGCAATGGTGGGGAAACAGGATGCACCCTCAGGGAGCCATCCCGTGGGCGTCAATTGCTGGCAACTCTGGCGTTTTATGCATCCAAAAATTGGCAATAAACGCTGGCCGACAAAACTTTGTCTGCATTGTTGCACTTTAAACAAAAATCGTTACTGGACACATACAAAATTTTGTAAGCATCGGAAATCTCTTCCACCTGCAAGTTACATTTTAGCTGGCACGGCAAGTACTTTCCACGAAATTGCTGGCTAAATTTTAAAGACATCTCATTTGAAGGAGCATCTAAAGTTTAGGTGTCATCTGAAATTACTGCCCAGCGAGTTTCCAGCGAAATTTAATTTTAGGTGTCACAACCAACGCAAGAGTTCTAAATTTAAGAGTTGAGCGAAATTTCACCAAAATGCACAAGGAAAAATTAATGCTTAAAATAAAGGAGAACTTATGCTTATACTTTATCTAAGAATTCTTAAGGGTTAACCCGAAAAATACGATATTTGAGGAAATTAAACTATACAAAACCCATTTTAAATAAAGTATCTCAACTACCAGAAACCTTTTGACATATATGGAAACCTTGGAAAATACTTAAGATACCTGTATTTCTGTATATATTTTCCTCTCAGTGCATCTATCGCCGCAGTCAATGGACAGCGCCAACTTTGCCATATAATCTTTTACACTCGCATTAAAAGCTCACTTGGCTCATGCCAGAATGCGGGGGAGTGGAGCGTGTCAGCCAACTCTGACTTCGACGTGGACTTGGAGGCAACTCCTCCGACAACTCAACTGGCAGATAGCCGTTCTCCGTTCTCCGTTCTCCAATTCCGTTCCGGGGCGCTATCAAGTCGTGTGCTCGAGTTACGCCCACCAGAAGACAGAGGATGGTGGAGGAGGAGGCCAGAGGAAGCCTAGCCTAGCTCTTTAAGGTGCCTCTGAATTAAAGTATCTTTTTTTTAGTTTTTTCGGGTCTCTCCCGGCATCAGTCAAGCGTCAAAGCGTTTTGCAGTTAACTGGAAAAACGTTGCCCAAGTTTAGAGACTGACTCGCTCTCCGTCTTCTGCAGTTAGTAGGTCAGAAGTTTCTGCGGCTCTGTGTGAAATCGTACTCCCCTATACACATAAAGATACTTACACTCAGATACGCAGATACTCACACTCAGATACTAGTACTCGTACTCAGTACTGGCACCTTTGTATATAGCACGAGTACCATACACCCAACGTGACTTTGTCTCTTTCGCTTGGATATTTTATTGCCGTCTGTGAGTCTCGCTGTTTGCTTTCATTTTTATATGGTTTTATATATATGTATATATTATATATATGCGGCAAACAAACAGTCTCAACTGCGATTTTAATGCCGGGTGAATGTCATGTTCTGAGCCCGGGAGTCTCTATTGCCACTGGTTTTCATTTTATGTCTCTTTAACCCACACATACACTCCTTTTCTCTTTATTTTTTTGTTGTATAAAAAGAAGCGTGTTTGGGCATTTATTTAGCCGCCTTTTGTATGGCATTTCAAAGCTACGGCAGTGTCATGAAATTTAATAGAACACCACGGCGATCTTCTTTATTAGGAGAGGTAGAAATTATTTATAAAAGTTTCCCACACAGAAAATAGCTGGAATTCATAAATATGAGTGTTTATTTTTCAATTAGGGTTTTAGTGACATAAAAAATACATATTTCATCTTTATATAACTCAATTTTTCTCTGTGCTATTTGCCTCGAATCTTTTGAACTCAAAATCCCTCAACTTTTGACTGAAGAACAAGCAATTCCCCCAAATGTCTGCCCAAATTAACACAGCTCGTACTTAGTTGAAGCCCCGAAACCCTTCTTTTTGCCAAAACAACAAAAGACCGCAAAACAATGAGGGAGCAAAAACCGAACAAAAAAAAAAGAAAAAAGTTACTATTACAAATCAGAACTGCGGCAAAGTTGAAAAGCGCGCTGTAATTATGCCCTCATTCGGGCTGGGAGCTGGGGCGGTGGAAACTCTGTGATTGAAAGTTGAAAATGGGTTTTGTGGCCTAATCCGTACTCCAGTGGCAGCCAGAAATTCGCTTTGTCAGTGACTGGGCCAGAAATTTGAGGCTGGTATCAAAAAAAATACAAAAAACAGAGCCTTGGCTCTCCGGTAGTTTTCGATTTTTCCACCGGGGGAGCTGTGTGTGCCAATGTGCCAATGTTAATATGCTTTTCCAGCTAATTATTTTCATTTGCTGCCGCCCGCCGTGATTGCCTCATTTTCCACATTTAATTACATAAGTCGAGGTGAAAAGAAAGGAAAACTGAAACAGAAACTGAAACTGTAACTGCAACTGAAACCGAGAGCAGTAGAGAGGGAAAAGAAAATCCTCAAATGAATTAAATAAATTATCAAATATTCATGTAAATTAAATTCAACACGAATTTCGCTTTCATTCATTGTCTGCCATTCGTTCGCATTTAATTAGTTTTCCACAAGCGCTTTCATTTGATTTCTCACGAAGGAGAGCGATGCTCGGGAAATTGCCTGATAAATAAAATTAAATTTCCATTAAACTTTGATTAGGCCTTCTTCTGCTAATGGGCTGTGTGCGGGTGTGTGCTAGCTGTTAAAAACATGAATATATATTTATTTTCTCGCCTTTTGATAGTTGCCAGCGGAAGTTGACTCTGATAATAAATAAAAATAAAATATCCCAATGCTGGGCCTTATCGTAATGAAGCCGTCTTTGTCTCCGTCTCTGTCTCTGTCTCTGTGTCGCACTGCAAATTGCTTAATCAATTGGAAACTGTTGTTCACTCGCATGCAAATGTCAAACTGACAGCTGCCGGAAAGGAAAGCCAGCGGCGGCAGGGGGGCGAAGGAAACGGAAGTGCCGCCATTTAAATGGAAACTCTCTGCTGCAGAAATGAAAGTTCAGCGATAAGTAAGCGGCGGTGGCGGCGTGCGCGAAAATACGAGTAAATAAATAAACTCGCCTGTGTGGAACTGTGTCAATGTTGCTGGCAATTACAAATTGCAATTAATAAATGAAAATTAAATGCAGTCGACTGATTGAATAATTACCGCGCTGACTGAGTGACTGACTTAACTGAATACTGAATATACTCGCCAATAGCCGTAGTAGCTTCTAAGCCTTCGTTAGACTTATAAAGCCCAGGTTGACCCTGAACTAGTTGGAACAAACCCCACACATATGGTGGGGGGCACTGAGGAAAACTAGAGCTTAATATTCAGTATCTATTATTTTGCAAAATATATTAGAATATTAACTGATTTAATTATATATGCAGAAGCAAGATTCTTTAAAGACTTGATCTGTATTTTTGTACTTATTTGATATATAAATTATTCATAGCTATTTCCTTAAACCTATTCTTTATTTAAATTATAGAATTCTTAAAGATTTCGTTGTGTGTTTTGTTACGATGACTTTTTATACTATTTATTCATCATTTAACAAGTGCGCAATTGCAGTGTTTGCTCGCATGCCAGTGCGATTTACTACGATGAGTTTTAATGAGACTTCTCCTCACACACATGGCAATGCAAATGCTAATGGGGGGATATGGTACTGAGATTCTACGATTTTGGTCCGCCTCTAATTTGTAGCTAATCAATCATTCGATGCTTAGCAGCACTCGATCACGATGGGGGGGCAGCTGTGCAGCTCTTCCAGCTGAGAAGATTCATTGATGTAGTTGAACTTTTGTCACCGCATGGGGCCCTGATTCAAAAGTGCCGCACTATGGGAGAGGGATCTACGAGTTAAAGTTATATAAAGAACCAACGAACTGGGAACGCATATCATTAGGAAGTTCTGAAAGAGCAGCAGAGTCGAGTTATTGTTCCGACTTGGCATTTCTGCGAGCTCATTTCCGAGAGAGGATGATGATGAGACGGCGATGAAAAGATCAAATTTATCATGACACGACAGCTGATGAAACATTCATGCCGCCGCATAAAGGGTGTCAAAGACCCCGAGGCCAGGGACCCGAAAAAATAACCCCCAGGTTGGTGGCTTTCCCAGGGAAACACTCCTCTTTCCCTCTGTGTTTTTTTTTTCAAGGCGCTCACATAAAACTGTGAAACGAAATCCTTGGCCAGCGAGAACAGCATCAAATTATTAAACATAAATTTCCGGTTGCCCCATGTTTACGGATGTATGTTTGTGCACGTAATTTTCCAACAATTTATCATCTTTTTGTGTTTGTGTGTGTGTGGAGCTGCTTCGATGACACAAGCAACAAAGCGCCAGACGCTTTTCCACCAACTCCATCTCCGTCTCTGTCTCCGTCTCTACCTCGTTTCCCATAAATATTTCCTCCTCTAATTGTTTGGCAAGGGTTGCTTCGTCTCCATTCCTGGCCTCCGTATCCTAATGAATTTACGCACACACACATCCTTTTTTGCCTTTGTCGCCTGTGCCAGAGTCTGCCTCTGCGTCTGCGGCGCATAAATTGTCCCTTCTTCTCGGCACAAAATATTTTACGTTGTCTGCCAAGGATGCCCGATCCCTTTTAGCTTCAGCTTGTTTCGTGTCGGCGGGCAGTGCGCAAATTTTTGGTCTTTTGCCTCATAAATCATCAAATTACAACAATTGCGCACTCGCTGCGCTTTTGTGTAGGGGAAAACCCGACCCGAAGGACGACGGAGGAGGTAGAGTATCCTCCTGGCACGAGACGCGCTGCCTTGGTCCTGTGCTGCTGCCTTTTGCCAATTTGCTGCGGACGAAAACATCTGTTGTCCTTTCGCCGTCCTGCCACCTGCGCGCTGCAAGAATTTTTCCCCCGTCCCCGTCCCGTTTTCCTTCCTTGTCATTTTCCAGCTGCCAAAACATCCTTGCTGAAAATCTTTTCTGCCATTCTATTCTTTTCCAGATCCCCCTCGGAGAGGTCCGGCAAAGGATGTTGCGGCCAATGGTTCGCTGGACCGCCACTCCGTGCCCTCATTGCTGTCGTGGCCCTGGGGGGCGTGGCCTGCGCCCTCGGCGGAGCGGCCTTGGGCGCCACGGGCCTGGCCGGGCCGCCCAACTCCCACCTTACGGCCGCCCTGCTAATGATTGGTGAGTGCGACTTTTATGACTATCTATAAATTTGTTCTAAAATATATTTATAGGGGCTGGGAAAGTTTTCCCGTATAGCTGCATAAAAATATAACTAAATTTATGGCTACAATGGTGTTTCAATTTTTACATCAGCCATGAATTTATCAGTCATGAATTTAGGTTTATGTGGGGTCTTAAAAGCCAAATATATATATATTATGCAGTTTGTAAATAAAGAACTTTGCCACAAATAGTGACAATTTTCTAAGCTATATTTAAAAGATTGTTATCGGAGTTCTACAGAAACCAATAGAGATTGGAAAACACTTTTAAAAAGTGTTGTTCCCCTTCTTTTTAAATTTAATTAACGTTTCAAAGCTCTGCTAGATCAAACTCAATTCTATTTAAGCTTAAAAACTGTTACTTATCTAAACATACACATTTATTTCACAACTTGAATACATTCAGTCCCCATAAAATGTATTCCTTTTAATGGCAACTCCAATTTGTAATGATGATACATAGAGGGTCTTGTCCCGCCTCCTATCCTATAAAATGTATTCCCTTTCAAGGCTGATTTAATGTTTTAAGCTGATTTTCTACATTTAATGGCAAATGGCTGGGTCATTTTGGTATTTGTCGAGTGCAAAAGCAAACTGGGCATGATTACGCAATCTGGCAAATATCGAGCCAGGGGAAAATGGCATTAAAGTAGGCGACGAGCGCCTTTTGATGTTCGCCATTCGCTGATGTTTACACAAGTCATGGGAGGCGGCGGCGGTGGAAATTCCCTCCTCAATGCTGGTGAAAAGGCCGCTGCTCCGTGTGTTTGTTCACAATTGTTACAATTATAAATGCCATTCGCTGTTGGGTTTTTCTTTTGAAAAGAAAAAACAAAATGTAAAGAGTAGGAGGAGGATGAGGAGGTGGTGCCCCAGTGTCTGTGTACCTGGACTGGCTTTGTGCGAGCACAAGAGTCTGTTACTATACATCTGCTGACCCAGTTCGAAGAACAAACAAATTTGCAGCCAGACAAGCAAACTGTCAATATTAACAGAGCATTTAGTTCCGTTTGCGATTTTCTTTGGCCAAAGCCAACGCTCTATTTGGCCAGCTCAACAGGTGATGATGATGGCAGGGAAGCTGTCCCATAGTAGGAGTTCCCTTGAATTAAATGCACTTGAGAGGGGGATAGCCTTTTTTGGGTATTAAAACCCCGAACCCCCGAACTCGATTCGATTCGATTCTGGCAACATTACGTAACCGCAGAAAGCGGGGCCAAGTGCAGAGTCTACTTCACTTCACGAGGTTTCTCGTATGCGACGTCTAATCAATTGCCGGCGCTTTTAGTTTAGCGCTTGCGAAGCGTGACATTGCGCCATTTTCGGCGGCAATTACCCAAAAGTTTTCAGTTTCCAGTTTCCAGTACACACACAGTATGTAATGTGTGTGTGCGGCAGCATTTTACATAATTTAATGGCAATCAAGGCAGCCAGTCAGCAAATCTCCAACTATGCTCGGGCCATAATGGAGTCGCAGTTGAAGTAGCCAAGAGCCGGGAGAGTCCCATCATCATCATCATCATCATCATCATCATCACGATGATGACAATGGGCGAGGTCTTTGGCTTTTGCAGTAAGATGTCACAATGTTCATGACAATTTTCGCTAATAAAATCGTATTCCAAGCCTACAAATTTGCCATGATGACATGCTCCAGTGAGTGCCAGGAGTAAAAGTGAAAGTTGGAGCGGCTTGATTAAAGCCAAGCTGGAGTTTGAGTGGGATTATGGCCTAGGAATTGAAGAGTGAGAGCTCTGGATAGTGAAGATTTTAAAGTAAAATTAAGGCAAAATCCAGCAAATCTAAAAAAAACTAGGAAAACCCTTTGCAAAGGCTGGATTAAATTGGCAAAAAGTAGTTGCCTTTTCTCTATTTTCACACCCTTTTTTAGTGTATTATAATTTTAGTTACAAGCTTGCCAGGCAGTAAAGGAATCATTTCCGACCCTATAAATCATATATATTCTTGATCAGCATCAACAGACGAATATTTCTAGCCATCTTCGGAAGAAAAAAAATTTAAGTTTTTTTTAATTTTATGATTTAAAATTGTCCAAAATTTAAGACAAAAAATTAAATTTTTAAAAATATTAAAGTGAGCATGCAGATTTATAAATCTAACAAAAACTAACATAGGAAAGCTTTCCGAATTGAAATGACTGCTTTTTTGGCAAAGTTATGAGTTTTTAAAGCTTTGATTTATCCAAAAAAATTTTAATATAACAAGAAACGGAAATTGATATAATCTTGAAACTTGCAAATGGATTGTAGAATCAAATCGGGAGGCGATCATAAGCTTAAAATGTTCGCACCCTTTAAATCGATATTTTTATAATTTTTTTTGACAATTCAAAGATAATAAAACTAGTAATTAAGCCAAAAAACTTAAACTTAAGTGTCGAATTGTTGCTAGTCATTATGCTAAGAACATGTTGTGCAACATGTTGCTAAGGGATAGAGCAATATAAGTAATATACATAAATGATGTAAATATAAATATAATCACAATGTAAATAAAATTGGGGAGATGTGTATAAAAAAAATGTGGATCGCCATCTAGGATCAACTTCCCGTCCGAGATCGTTTTCATTTAGTTGGTTTTCATTTCATATTCAAGGGCAATTATCAGAGACACAAACCCTAATGGCAAATCGCTACGATCATAAAGGGGGAGGGGAAAAGAAAAGTCAAGAAAATACTCCTCACTCAATAAGACTACAAAGCAATAAAATAAAGAGATATATAAAATATATCGTTACTCACCCTCTTATTTGTTGCTGGAAGTTGAAACTGCAAAAGCGCTTTCCTTTGCTTTCCGTAACACAAATATTCACATAAAAAAAATTGAAAAAAATAATCACAAGAAAATGCACAACAAAAAAAATCACAAAAAAAAAAGGTGAAATCACTGGCACTTTCGGAAATTTTCCGTTTAACTTGCACAAAAAAAAAAAAATAAACAAAAAACTAAACACATCCCGCACGTAGATATTTTCCGGCTTCCGATTCTTCCGATACTCGCACGTTGAACCAGTTCCGATGTTTTTCACGGCGCTCATCGCTCACGATGTCGATTACCCGCTTTTTTTCCCGTTTTCCCGCACTTTTTCGTTCTTCGTTATCCCCCGCGCGTCCCGCGACCGACAATTGCCAATTGGAGTCCCTCGCAGCACCCGTTTTATGGCGATCGTTTTTCACGTTTTTAAGGATAATAACTATATATGTTTGAGCACTAATTAATCACATGTGCTACACTGATAGCTCGCGCACCTGCTAATATTGTTTATTTGTTGTTGCACACCATTTATTTACGAATTGGGTGCTGCATTTATGTAGCTGCGACCGGCCAACTCCTTTCATCCTAATTGCACAATAAGATTTTGTTGATACACAGCGTTTTTCATATCCAAATGGACAATTGGGTCGTTCTTGTTGTTTCACACACTTTAAATTAACAATTGGATTAGTTTTTCACCGGCAAATTGAATTTTCTTTCCGCAAATTTTCCGTGGCCATCCCGAGTTGCTTGCGATTTTTTTCTAATAACAGCGGCTGTTAGCAGCTGTTTCCTTTTTATGTTATTAACATGCTGCTATTTAACATTTTACCCCTTACCTGTCAACATAACCTTTTACACGTTTACAGATACATACATAGGTAAAATTCTCATTTTTTGTGTCTAATTCTCACTTTTGGGGTAAAATTCGCAGGTAGGAAGTAGAATCTCATGTAGGACGTAAAATTCATTGACAGATCTGCGTAACTTAGCAGCGTCTTAACAGAATTCTCTCTTGTTGGCTGTCGGGTGAGCGTAACGTATATCGTTGATCGATATATCGATGATCGTATATTTGTATAGAGTATCGTTTAAATATATTCTGGATCGATATATCGTTGTCCTCTCGTGAAGTAGGCGCAAACCAATTGAATTTAAATAATATTTCGTAAGGGGATATATCTTGAATTATACTTGTTGCCAAGTAAACCCTTTTAAATTCTTTGATTTAACCAAAAAAAGATTGCATAAATCTAGTTTAAAGCCTCAACTTTAAACTTTAAGGCAATTTTTTGGTCCCTATTATGTACTACTTTCATAAAATGAAAGCCCATAAATATTGATTGTTGCTTTAAAGTCGACGCTGTGTGGTGGTATTACCACTTAAGCCTGGAGCCGCAGTTCGCGTTGGATTTGGTGGTTTAAGCGAGTCCGTAATTGCGGCCACGCCCCCCTTTGTGAGTGGGGGCTAATTAAATCGGCCGCTAAATGGAAATTGTCGGGGCACTTGGAGGGGGGCGTTACCCGAACTCTAGCTCGCTCTGAAATTAACCCAACTCTCTTTCGACTTTTCCAGGAGTCGGCGTTGTGCTGGTGACGGTGAGCGGTGCCGCCTGGCGGATGACGGCGCCGGGCGGCCAAAGCTGCCTGGGCATTGGATTGGGCACCAGCGTGGATCTGGGGAGGTGCGGCCGGAGGCCCTGTAGTCGCGGTGGCGGAGCACCCCATGGCCTGCTCTATCCGGAGTTTCAGCATCGACCGCCGCCGCCCTCGTACCAGGCCAGCATGCAGGAGTACCGGTTGAGGTAAGTTCGAGAGGAGTATGGGAGCTAGGGAGGTCTTGGAGTATGGGTGTCCTGCATTAGTAGGCGTGCGAGTGCCGGCGAACTGCTGGTGCATAAATTACACGCAAGGACAGCAGTTGGTGGCGGTCCTGCGGCTTTCGTCCGCCACTCGCATGTCCTGACGCAATTAATTGCATTATGCATAATTATCCAGCGGCCAGAGCGTTTTCTAGATACACTAAGGGAAAAGGAGGACCTGAAACCTGTAAAGAACTTAAGTTAACTCTAATTTCTTATCCAAACTATTCAAAATCAGTATTAAAAATGTTTCATATCGGTTTTTTAAAGTTTAAAATTTGAAACTATTAAACATATTACAAAAAAAACCGTAAAGGACAATTTCAATTTCTCTTTAAAGACCTTCTCCTCCTTTGCTCTCAGTGCAACTATTGCCCCCTGTCCATTTCCTTTACATTTTCCTCGCTCGCTTTTCTGGCCGCCTTTTTCCTGTCGTGAACCAGGCACATCTACAACTACTCAACCGAATCCTTTTTCCGCTTTTCCCTCTCTATCCCACAGACTTTTGCTGTTGGACCGCGATCGCCAGAATGGCGTGGTGCGTGGAAATTCGCCGCCGCCCACTTATCGATCTCATGCGGGCAGCCTGCTGAGGTAAGTACTTCCGTTTCCGGTACAGTCCTTGTACGCCAACCACTCCCGGCCCGTTTCCCCCCTCCCCCCCCACAACCGTGAGTTATTTGCAAAGTTTGGCGCCTGCCAAACCGCAAAATGTTTTCCAGACCAAAAGGAAATCGGTGGGCGGGATATGTGAGAGATGTGAGATCTGGGTAGAGCTTGGAACTGGAATCCTGGCGGGGGTGAGTCTTTGGTTTGGCTTTGTGCGGTTTTCCGAGGGTGTCAACATTGACACATCGCTTTTGGCTGAGGGGGTGGGATGGGTAGAAGACCGAAAAGTTTTCCGTTTTTGGGGAGAGCATTTTCGATTTTTCCCCCAAGTCTCTGGGCCCAGAATGACTTGAAAGCCTCGCACAGATTGTCAGCAAACATACTCGGCAATTGATTCGGCAACTAATTGAAGAGATAAGGCAATCCTCCCCGAATATATATGAGCAATCCGATTGCCTTTGCCCTCGGATCCCTTATCCTTGGAAATAAAATATCGTGAGTCACACAAAGGCAATTTAAATAACAAGGACATTTTAGGAGTCTGAATGGTGGTGGAATAATTATCGCCCCGGAACGCATAATGTTCGGCTAATGAGAAAAGTTCACTTTTATAGCCTACAAATTACGTATTCAAATAATAATTTCAGACCATTCAAAGCGTAGCGTAACGCAACGTATTTATGACAAATTAATTTACACACAGACACACACAGACTACGCGCTGGAATATTTATAATGTGGGCAAGGCAAAGCTGATTTCCGAGCGGAAACGGAAGGAGCGCCATCGCCAGGGGAAGTATGTCAAAAAGCAAAACTTATGCAAAGTGTGCGGCAAGAAATCACAGCATACTTTTAGGAGGGGCCAAAGCTGGCAAAGAACTCTGTAGAAATTTTGCAAAATATTTACACACACGCGCGCACCTCTGAAGGACCTGCCAAGCCGCATAACAAGCAGAGATGCTGCAGAACAGAGATGGGGAAAATGACACACAGAGTTAGAGAGAGAGGAGATGGGGAGCTTGGGGGGAAAATGTCCAGGGATACCAAGCTCACCCTAGCTAGCTGCTGGCCAAGTCAATTAAACAAACAAAGAGCTAGCCAAAGTGCTGCGAAAATTGCCTGTTATGCACAGCACATCGCATCGCATCAAGGACAATGGAGGACAACATATAGATAGGCCCGATTCCTGCACGATGACTTACTTTCCTGTCCGGTTTCCTTTTGCTGGAGCCATCTTTGTCGGAACAATTAAATGCAATTTTACATACTCCAAATTGCTTCATACAATTTGTGTGTGACTTGCTCGGGGACTCCCTGTGAGTCCTGTGAAGAAATCACCCAACCACGCCCAGTTTTCCTCCTCGGAAAAGCCCAGAGGGCGGCAGTGGCGTCTGCCATTATGTGCAGATGAGCGTTTGAGTGTTGACTTTTGTGCTCTGCCGACTGAAGTGTGAATTGTCTGTGATTTGGGTTTAGTGTTCAACTCTCCCCCTCTTGGAAGTCGTCTCTCTGAGCCCCTTTGAAATCCCTCTTCCTGCCACCCCCCTCTACTTTGGTCGTGCTCATGGCAACAATTGCCACAGCGGCCTTTTGTTATTTAAATTGACAAAGATGAGAATATAGGAAATCCACACACGCAGATATATGTATATATTTATGTGGGAGAAAAGGGAAAGGTTCGTCATTCATGTATCTCATACATGCCGATGACTGCAAACACTTGAGGGCACTGCAAAAATAAACTATATAATTAAATTAAAATTTAAAAGAGAACCCTAGGGATTTTAGAATTTAGATAATTTATTAAATTACAAAAATATGCAAAAACAACAGAGAAATCCGAAGCCGAAGTGTGTATACCCTTGCAGTTGCCCAAAGGATCATGGGTTCCATTATAACTAAGTCAAAGGATATCCGCATATAATTTTATTTGATTCCAATTTTGATTGCAAATATAAATATATATTACTCTAGGCAATAACTAGCTTTTTGGCCTTCATATACCTAGAAGAATATCTAAAATATGTATATTTTAAGTATATAAAATCGATATTTTTATATGGTTAAACCACAGTTTTCCAAATATCATAACTAAGCCAAAAATGCATTAATTTTAAATCGGATAGCTTTTCTGTGCTAGTTTTTATACTGTTAACAAATCTACATATTGGGTTTTAAAATTTTAAAAATTTAAATTTTTGATCAAATTTTTGGCAATTTTAACTCATAAAAAATGTTGAAAAAAATTAAAAAAAAAAATTTCTGTCAGACATCACTAGAAAGATTCGGCTGTTCATGCTGATCAAGAATATATATGGTTTATAGGGTCGAAAATGACTCCTTAACCGCGTAAAAAGCTTTTGACTGAAATTCTAATACCCTACAAGGGGGTATATTAATAATGAAGTAAAAGTTGGGAACAAAGTCAGGGTCAGGATAAAAAATCAATATTCCTGAATTATTTATAATTAATTTACGCTGTTAACTTTGAGTACATGTTGGCAAAAATTCTTTTTAACAAGTGTTTTGTATCTTTAAATTAAAATTAAGTAATAAAGGGTATGGAGTTATAAAGAGAGATAGAAAAAAAGAGCTATTTCAATTTTATTAAATAATTGTTTGGCTTAAATTAAAACCATATGCATTATTCCAGCTTCAATTTTATCATATAACTGGAAAATAGACCCACTTTTCTGCCAGTTTAACCATAGATAGACATAGCTCATGACAAATACCCAGCGGCAGAGACCAAGACAGACTCAGACTTATAGTTCCTGTCCCTTGGATGCAAATTTGTGCATTTGGTTAACATATTTGCCATCTCCTTATGTCCCCTCCCCCCCACTCCCCAAAAAAGGACAAACAAAACCGGATTGACTTTGGCTCATGTGTAAATAATTCATGCCTTTGATTCACTTACTTCCAGGGCTCCACTGACCACCCTGCGCTCGGGAATTGGAGGAGGCGGAGGTGGAGGCGGCGGAGGAGGCAGCGCCGCTGGAGGCACCATTAGCAGCAGCATGGGTGGATCCGAGTACAGCCTGCCACCCAGTTACCGTTCCCGGAACGCCACGCCTGCGGGTCTGGTGTGCGGCGAGCGGAATATAGAGACAGCACCATCCGGACGACTGCTGGCCAATGAGGATGTGCACTTGCCGGAGCCATCGGTGGTGGAGCAATTGCCGGACTACACGGCGCTGCAGTCGAACACATTGCTCACCTCGGCCATTGTGGAGATAGAGTCATCCAATCGGGTGACGGATAGGGAACGCGAATCCCAGTCAGCAAATCCCAGCCAGGCGAAGAGCAAGAGCAAGGATCTGGTGACCATTGTGACCATATCGCAGTCCCCCGGTGGAAGCCACAGCCACAGCCACAGCCACAGCCAAACGCAGACTCCAAATGGAGCTGGCCAGGCCAGCGGACTCGATCAGATCGATATATTGGCGCATCTGTAGCGCGATCCGTCGCGTAGACACTCGTTAACCCAAAGGTATTTATTTGTACGGAACTCAAGCCGTGGCAGCGGCTCCTAATGAATGTAATGTAACCCCTACATATACTTGTAACCTAAGCTGTAAGATGTTTGTTGTACTTGAATGTGTTGAATTTATTTTTGTAAGCATTAAGCAGATGCGCAGCGTAGTTATTACGAATTCTAGATACATGCAATTATACCTACGCCACTCTCTCTCTCTCTAACCCATTGAAGTATTAAAGTACCCAAAAAAAAAAATGTTAAAAAAAATGAAGATACGAAAATAAGGAAAAAAACTATCGAATTGTAAATACAAAATTTCAAATACGAATGCATTTCTAGCAACTAAACTGCATAAACCCAGAACGAGAGCAGAACTAAGTATATAGTGTATGTAGAGATGCGTATCCGCCGGATACGCATTCTTCGCAACGGAACGCTACGGTGACAAATTTTGCGCGCAATTTCGGAAACCACGAATATCCAACTGAATACTGAACTTCGATGTCGATTTCGATTTCTGAATGCGTTTCGCACAAAACAAAATAGGTAGACCTACCCCTAATGATATGTAAGTTACAACTAATTGTGCTCGCACACTCACTCACTCACACAAAAACATACTCACACACACACACACACACGCGAGAACTAACTTAAAAGTCCTTTCCTGTAATGTGCAAGGCGACGTAAACTAAACATGAGAAATAAAAAGAAAAAAAAACAACCCAACAAATCGTTGAAAAATGCCACAAAAACCCCAAAATTGTTTTTCTTTCTCCCCCGGACGGTCCTGATCCTGCTTAATCTAGCGGAAATTTTGCTGCCATCGTCAGAGGCCTGTGAAGTTTTGTTTTTCTAGCAGAGGGGGCGGGCGACCTCCCAGCGATTAACACCGCACGGAAAAATGCGAAACAAACTCGGCTCACACCTTAGAGCAAAAAAAATTTACAACAAAATACCAGGGTCTCAAATGAAACCAACAAAAATTGGTTAAGCATGAAATTGCCAGCGATGTAAGTATGTGTGTGCGTGCGAGGGCGAAACTGTTGCATACTTTCAGGCAGCCGGCGGAATTCGTGTGCCCAGCAAACCGGAAGTTGCCAACGATTATGACATTTCTACATTACACATTTCCCCCATTTTCGCATGTGGAATGAAAATTAAGTAGGAATATTACAAAGAAAACGAAAAGGACCTCGATTAAACGCGTTAAAGATTTCGAAATTTATTCACTTTGCTGATGATCATTTACAATTTACACTCGTTTACAATCAGATTATGGATAATTTACAACATAAAATTTAGAAATAATAGTAGTAGTATTTAAGCAACCGTTGGCATTTCCCGGTTGATCAACAGTTTTCCTCATGCTCAAGGCTCAGATAAATTAACTCTGGCCACAGTACATAAAATATTTAGGCGTGGGATCGATATAGTTCGGCGGTTATGATGCTTCAAATAAATAATATAATATGTGTGTGTATGTATGATGTAATTTGCTAGCTAATTCGATTTCGTGTCGTTGTTGCAGTTTTACAATTTTTTGTTTTTTGATTGAGACTGATTCGTTGATTATTTAAAATTAGGATAACATATTTGTGGGCACAAGTCAAAAAAACAAATAGAAATAATAATAATTACGCATTATTCACTCTGACAATTGCAATTATAAGCTCTTAGGATACGTGCGAGCGAGCTTCCGTATCCTTAGATTGTGTAGATAGTTGATGGTTAAGTGTGCGTGATCCCTGAAGTCGAACAAAATCAGCTGGCTGGCGACTTAGCGTGCGTGATTCTTGCAGAAGGGACGTCCACCCTTGTTGTAGAAGCTCTGGCCCTCCAGGTTCTGTTTGCAGAACTGTACGAAACGAAAGGAAAAAATCAGAAGAAACTCCCTTTTAAATGAGATTCATGAACACTCACCGTGCAGTTGAAGCATTGGCTATGATAGTTGTGATTGAGGGCCTCCACCCATCTATCGCCAGCTTCCACGGGGAAGCCGCAGGCGAAGCACTTGGTGGTGAACAGCTCGTTCCAGTCGGCCTCGCAGTAAGCATTACCATCCTCCAGGAAGAATGGCGTGTTGCCAAAGATCTTGCCGCACTGGCCGCAGGTGAAGCACTCCGGATGGAAGTGCTTACCAATGGCATTCAGGCAATCACCCTAGAAAAACAAATATTTATTAAAATACGCAATCAAAACTCCGTAAATCCAAGACCCACCTTGATCTTTCCGGCACACTTGCTGCAGGTGGGCGCCAAGTACTTCTCAAAGCAGTACTCGCAATACAGGTCACCCTTCTCCTCAACGAATCCAATATCCTGCAGCGGACGACGGCAGTTGCCGTTCACACAGATGAAGTGATCCGGACACCAGATCTTGCCCAGCGCCGTGATAAAGGGTCCTCTGTAAAAATTAAATAATACAAAATTAGTATTAAATAAAAAACAATTATCACAACAACTAAACAAAGTAGGAAAGGCAAGCTGGCATGTACTTACGAGGTTATTTCCTTATTGCACTGACAGCACACCGGCTTCTTACCCTCCTTGAGCAACTGACTTACGGCCCTTTCGTTCTCCTCCGACATGGTGGTCTGATCCTCGCTATGAGGACCCAAGGCCTTTACAGAAACACAATACGTAGGAGAACTGTTCTGATTGCCATTTTGGCTGGCACTTTGATTGCTGGCAGTGGGTGCAGCCGGCTGCTTGGGTTCTATGTAGGATCTACGGTCAGCCGCATGATGGCTAGCCCCAGTGCGTCTTAAATTATTCCTGAAAGCCACTGGCTCGGGGGCATCTATGGCCTTGCCACTGTCACAGAGATCGAGTATCTTGCCCATGGGATGCTGTTGGGCAGGCAGTTCCATTTGGAGGGTCTGTTCCACTCGAGGAACTTGGGCTTGTGCCTTCTGTGTACCCAACTCGGTGACATGATCCTTTTGCGGATGCAGGGCGACCACAGGCTGCAGAGTCATTGGCTGGGTGGGATCTAGATTCTTGAAGTCATCAAGATCCAGACGCTTGCGCACAATCATGGGACTCTTGGAGAGATTAGAGCTGCTGTTACTGCGCAGACTCTGGGCACTTCCCGCATGGGAGAGCGGGGCACTAGGTCCTCCATTGTTGGCCAATCGTGCCTCCAACATATTGTTGATGATCTTCCCTGCCTCATGCATGAAGGCGTTGGTTTTGTCGCCCATATTAATCCTGCCCACAGATTCGGCCAGCATGGAAATGGCATCCGTCTCCTGTGGGTGCTCCAAGTCAGTTGCTTGAGGCTGGGGTCTTGGCAAGGTGGCATAGGTTTGCGGATTAGCATGCGGATTAGTGGCCTTGACAGCGGCGGGAGCTCCTGTAGGAACTGCAAAGGAAACAGGCGGCATTGGGTTAGGTTTAAATCATGCGAATTAGTGAGGATCTGGGTGGGATCAAGCTCATCAGTAGAAAGCTGATCCCAAAAGTAATTAATATAAAATTAACAACATTAAATGCTTTGGTAAATTGTTAAAAATAAAGGATATATCATTAAATCCTTAAATATCTCATTAAGATTATATATCAGCGGATTAAAAATCATTCACAGCAACAAATAAAACATGGAAACATCAGAAAAATAAAACTTTGAACACAACATAACACTGGGATTCACTGTTCACCTGATCTGCACGTTGCAGCTGTTGCACAGTGGGATGCGCACACCGGGTCCGGCCGCCTTGTTCAGGATACCCCTGCCACGCTTGGGCGCCGAGGTGGCTCCAAAGACACCGCCGCTCTTGCCACCGGCACCTGCAGAATCATCCACATTAGAGTTCAAGTTCAGATCGCTTAGATTTGGCGGAAAAGCAACGGGCGCAGCGGGCGGAGCAGCAGCTTTCACGGCATTGGCTATCACCGATTTCGGAGCAATCGGTGCTTTGTATGGAGCTTGGGCTCTGGCCGGAGCTGCAGCTGGGGCAGGAGCTGGAGCGGGCGCAGGAGCAGGAGCTGATCCTGGACCTGTGATGGAAGCGATGGATGGCCGCGAGGCCAGATTAGGCTGAGTGCTGCTGCCATTGGCGCTCCTGAAGGCCGATGTGGCCTGGTTATTAGTGGTGGTAGTAATAGCAGAAGCTTGGGTTAGACTTTGCGACGATCTGGCGACGGATGCTGATGCTGAAGCAGATGCTGATGAGGATGAGAGCGATGAGGAGGTGGCTTTCGTGCTGCTTGCGTACGAGCTCTGCTGCACCGATGACGTGGTGGCCTGGTAGCCGGAGAAGGCGGATCTCTGTTGCTGTTGTTGTTGCTGCTGTTGTTGCTGAAGGATGAAGCCAGGTGGAGGCGCCACTAGCTTGCTGGTGGCTGCCGGTGCCGCTCCATAACCGGGCACTGTGGACTCCACGGGCGCTGGCTTCAGCGGGAACTTGGAGTCAAAGGTGGGCGATCTCAGGTTGGGGAAGCAACCCTCACCGAGCGTGGAGGCCCGGGCACTAATGGCCTGCGACTGGCTGGTCAGGCTAGTGATCTCCTGCTCCAGGCCCGAGAGACGCCTTGCCTGATTGGCCACGAATCCCGTCTTGCCGTAGGACGAGCGGCGCTCCGTGTCCGACTGGCTCTGGGACTGCGATTGAGCCTGGGCCTGGCACAAAGACTGAGTGCCAGTGCGAATCTCTATGGTCTTGGCACTCTGTGTGCGCTCGAACTCCTCGGTGACCTTGCGACGCCTCTCGATCTGCGTGTTGCCCACCTGGCTGCGCGTCTGGCTCTGTGACTGCGACTGCGATTGCTGCTGCAGCTGGGAGGATTGCTCTCGCTGCTGGACACTCATATTGCCAATCCTCTGCTCCGTGACCCGCTCCGGCTGCTGGCTAAAATTCTGGCTAGCCGATTGTGAGCTCTGCTCGGAGTGTGCCAAGAGCTGACCCTGGTAGCTCTGTCCCGTGGTTATCGATCCCGTTTGCAGACGTGGAGCTCCCGACACAGACAGCAAATTCGACGGCGTGGGCTCTGGTTCCTTCATCCTTGGCGCACGAATGGCAGAGAGCGGATTCGGTGGCGGTCCCGGAGCCGGAGAACGAGCTCTATCCGGGAAGGGTGAGGCCGCACGCTGGTTATAGTCCCTGGCATGGGTAGCCGGACATTCGTCGAAGCAGAGCTTCTCCTCCGTCTGGTAGAAGGGCACAATGGGCGCCGGCTTGTTGGTCAGCGACGGGGTGTACGGCCTGGTGGGCGTCTGGGCCTGATCCGGGCGCACGAACTCGTCTAGCGGTTGGAAAGCCATCGTTACTGGACCCGATCGATCCTCGACAATAATGGGCACCGACAGCTGCGGACGGGCAGGAGCCGGAGCCGGAACCGTAGTCACCGCCTTGGCCGGCGCAGCTGTCGGCGCTGCAACCTGGGCTATGGCAATGGGTCTATGTACAGTGGAGGAGTCGCTGGTCACGGGCGCCTTCGGGGCGTCCACAAAGGCCAATGGGACGTTTTCGCGCAGCTCATGCGGTTCCGGGGTGCGAATGGGACTCTGGGTGGGCAGCACCGTCCAGTTGCGCTGATATTTTGGGATGCTGTCCGCCTTGTGGAGGCCGGACTGTACGGCTTTGCCATGTTTGGTCAGGTGGCTCAGCGGGGAGGGCGGCGGGAACAGGACCTCCGAGTGCTCGAGCTCTTCGACGGTCTCCTCGATCAGCTCATGGGCATCGAACTTGCTGCTCTGCTGGCTACTATATACAGCGATAGCTGGTGTGCGAACGGGTGCGGGTGCGGGAGCAGGAGCTGGAGCTTGAACTGGAGCTGGAGCAGGAGCAAAAGCGGTCGAGGTGGCAGGTGGGACTGTGGAAGAGTAGTTAGAGCAAGCATTTGCTTTGGAGCTGTAGGAGGAAGCGGTAGCGGAACTCTGAGACTGGGCGTTGGCCTGAAGGGCTTGGGTCTGGGCGAGCTGAGAGTGTTGTTGTTCTTGTTGGGTTCTTTGGGTGACTTGGGAGTGTTGTTGCTGCTGTTGCTGCTGTTGGGTTCTCTGATTAACTTGGGACTGTTGTTGCTGCTGGGTCAAGAGATGCTGCTCCTGCTGTTGTGACTTCTGGCTGATGTGCTGCATCTGCTGTTGCAACTCCTGGCTCTGGACGCACTGCTGCAGTTGGAGCAGCTTGGACTGCTGCAGTTGCTGCTGGCTGAGCAGGCTCTGCTGCTGGTTTGAGAGCTCCCGCTGCAACTGGGTAAGTTGCTGACCCTGCAGTCCGGACAGCTCCTCCTCCTTCATGTGGAAGTACTCCAAACGCTTCTGGTTGCGCTGCTGTGCCTTGCAGTACTTCTGGTACTCCAGATCCGTGTCCGCCTCCGCCAGGGCGGATATGATCGAGGCCCGGGGAGTGGCCGTCACACTGGCCGCATTGGACACCGTGTTCGAGTTGGAGTTGGAGGAGAGTGGCTCGCGGGATGGCTGGAATGCTTGCATGGCCGCAAAGGCAGATGACTTCCGGGGCTGATCCTTTTGCGTGACATAGTACTCCACGGTCTGAGGTGGCTCCGGCCGAATGCCCAGCTCCTCCTCGTGATCCAGCACCTGAAATTCACGCTTCTTCAGTTCCTGTTGCTTCTGCTCCTCGTCCACGCGATGCATGGCATTCTCGGGGTTCAGGGGAGTGTAACCGCGCTCGGGGGCGGTGACAAGGGCATCGGCCATGGTCAGGTGCTCCTTGGGAGTGGGCAGGTCTATCAGGTGGATGGGAACGTCCTTGTCGAAGTGACCCTCGAACGGGCGGTCGGGAGCTGTGGTCAGGGCACTAACGAAGGGCGACTTGGGTCGGTAGTCCTCCCGGAGATAGGGCTTCATGTCCATGGGTGGTGGCATATAGGGCACGGTCTCCTCCGGAAGTGGGATACCCTGATCAGCGGGCGGAGCGAACTTGAGCTCAAACTCCGGGGCAGTGATCATGGCTTGGGTGAGACGGGATCCGCGGGGAGGGGACTCTCTCAGGGGAGCCGGCGGTGGCTCAACCGGAGCGGGTTCCGGCGGAGGAGGGGCTTGTTGCTGAGCAGGAACGGGTGCCGGCACCTCTTGGGCTCGAGCGGTTTCAGCGGCCTCCGCTTCCGCCTCAAAGTCATCGCCACAGGGCCTGGGAAAGGGACACTCGACCAGGTGGAAGGGAACCTCCGGCGCTGTGGTCAGCACACGAATCATGGGATTAATCCACTCTTTGGGACTCGGGTTGGGGATCCTGGTCGGCGGTATCTGCCGCACGGGGGCAATCTCAAACTTGATCTCCGGCGTGGGCTGGAACATGCGTTCGCTCTCCAGAATCTGGGCACGATGCTCGATCACCAGACCCTCGCGATCTTCGACGGATTCAATGGCCTCTGGTATGGTCTCCAGCTCTCCAGGCATTTGAGGCAACTCCTTGATCTCGGGCTCATCGTTGAACACAACGCGACGGCTCGTTGGGGCAGAAGGAGCAGGAGTCTGGACTGGAGTGGTCACGGGACTGGGTGTCACCTCCCTTACCATATCGATTAGCTTGTAGGTGCTCAGCGGCACTGCCAGGGAATCCACACACTCCTGGGCACTGCGCCTCCCGGAGGCATACTCCTGAATCGAATCCTGGGTGCTGCCATAATCCACTTGGTAATCAAACTCCGAACCGGATTGCTCCTGATAGGCCTGCATCTGGGCGGCATACATTCGCTGGTATTCCTCTGAGGTCGTGGTCGTTGTGGTCGATGTGGAGGTATAACTCTCCGAGCTGGATTCCTGCTCCGCCAGCTGACGGGCATTGGCATTGGTTAGTTGTGGGGCGGAGTAACTCTGCCATTGGGGAGCTCCTCCTGGAGCAGATGCTCCTGCTGCTCCTGCTGCCACTTGAGGCTGCGGATCGAGTTGTCTACCGTTTGCCCCTCCAGGTGGCAGCGGTGGTACTTGTTGCACCGGATTTGTAACCACCACATGCTGCGTCTCCGGTGGAGGGATATACAGTGGTGCAGCAGTGGGCGCCAAATGGTTATCATCCTGCGGTGGTGGCCACACGAAGCTAGAGCCGCGATGAGATTGGCGGCTGGCGGCCATGGCCACCTCAATGTCCACCTCATAGCAGTCCTCCTCCTCATACTGAGGCTGCAGTTCCTCTTCGACTACATTTTTTAATTACGCAAGAGTTCAGGGGTCAAACAGCAGGGTCAGGTGTGTGTGTGTACGTGTTGTTTTGGGTTAGTTTTTTGCAATTGGGGCAAATATAAGAGCAGAAAGAAACAAAAGACAAGCGCTTGTTAGTCCTTGGCACTGAGAAAGCAGCAGAGGATCAGTTGGTTGAGAGGTTCAGTGGTTCGGTGGATCAGTGGCTTGGCAACGGCGATACACAGAAGCAGCAGACACGAAGGCTTTTTACAAACTAAAGAAACTATAGCAACTTTGTTCTAAAAACTACCAGGCAAGAGAGGCGGCAAAAAACGAGAGCAACTCCATTCTTAGGTAGATGGTGAAGGTGTTGGGTTTTAGGCAACTTAAAAACTAATAATAGCTCGAAGCTGGGCCTAACCTCTTGTGTAAGTAATGGTCCGAGAGGTTCACTTGGAGTAGTTCCAAGTGGTCAGACGGCAGAAGCTGGTTAAGCAACTCAATCGAAGCAAGGCAATGACTGGAATCGGCTAAGGTTTTGCCCCCCAAACAGAAACCCCTCACACAATTTGTTGACAGACAAAAACAAACAGCTGTATACCGCTGGCCTCGTATATAAAAGAGGGAAAATATTAAATGCGATACAACAATAGTCGGGTTGAGGGAAGGAGGAAACGTTTTATGCCCCTTCTGTCGAGGCAAATAAATTTTTATTTCTTATTTTCAGAGCCATTTTCATGGCGAGCAACAATAAACACACGACGCGTACCGTACAGGGGAGGACAGCTCCTCCTCCGCTAGGCACGCATATTTACTTCCATTTTTTATGGGAACACGTCTGCCTTGAAAAGGAGAGAGAGAAACAGGGAACTGGCAGGACGCAGGACCTCTTTGGCTGTGCGAGGCAAAATGGCGTCGACAGGTAGTCATTGGATTTTATTATGCATAATTCGGTATTGACTGTAATTTTGCAGAAATTGAAAATGGCTGAAACACACCGACCAAAGGGACCCATGTTTCTGTGCGGCAGAAACAAACGAAAAACGCTACGAAATTATTGCCGCAAATATTTTGTCATATCAAAAATGTTGTCGGCAGCAGCCACAGAAAGTTTTCTCTTTCGGCCATAATAAGAGGCCACCCAGAGGGGCCAACAAAAAGTTCTGCTTTATGTTTATTATTTTTCTAGCTGTTTATTGTGTATAAATTCTGTATATTCTGTACTTTCCCCCCATCTATAAAGGCATGCAAAGTTGTGCAAAAGAAATTCTTAGAATAGCCGGGGACACAGAGTTCGATTAGTAGCACTTAGAGGAATATAGACTTTTTCAGAGCTCTTTAAGCGAAATGCGGTTAGGCACGAAGCATTTATAAATAGGAAAAAGGTGCTTATAAACAGTATTTTCTTCAAGATAAAATTAATGCAATTTATTTTGCTTAAAAATTCATCGATTTCCACATTCAATTTTGATAGTTTTCATATAATATTTTGCTGTTGATAATATATATATTATATATTTCTTTTTTCCAGAATTTCGCCAAACTTTGCACGCCTTTTGTGTGGGTGTGTGTATTTTTTGGTGTGTGTTTTAAGCAGCAATTGGCTTGGGGCTTTCTAATACGTGTATTGGTAACCGTAACCTAAAAGAAGCAGAAACCAAAACAAAGGTTATTCGTGGGATTATGGGAAAAATGAGAGCCGAGACCCAAGCCTAGGACAATAGTGCCTGACGCCCCCATAAATCTCCTGCACTGACGAATGCCAGCCATGTGATGTATGGCCACCCGGCACGCTTCAATATGTGGAAATAGAGAGGAAGGAGGGAAATGCGGAAAAGTGGAAAATACCAAGGCGGAAGCTTGTTCTTGGTTGGATAATAATGGCTGGTAATTTATCTGCTTTCGTTTACATTTCCCGCTGCTTTTCCCTGTGCGTGTCGGCATTCAAGCAAACATTTGTTTGCCAGTCTCTGCCTTGTTTTTCCCGTTTGTTTGTTTGTTTGTTTGGTTTTTTCTGGGTTAGCAAATTGGAACTGGATTTGGCCAAGGCTCAAGCTCATATGCCGCAGAGCCCAGAAACCGAAACCCCAAATGATTGCTGTGGCTTTGCGCGTGATTTTTGCTTTGATTAGGAGATTGATTCCTGCCGGAATGAAGATTTATTATATGGGCTAACTCTGTGGAGCTCTGAACTCTGAACCCCTTGCTAATTGCATTTTTAATTGCTTAACGAAGGTGGAGAGCGATGCTACGCGAAAATTGCCCCATAAATTTGGAGTGCAATTGTGGGGCGTCGCCATATTTGTTGTTAATTCATTTCCGTTATGACAGGCCAGCATCGCCGAACGCGGTAATTGATAAACAAACAAGCAACCAAACAGACAAACATCGAGACGGAGGTGGAGGAGGAGGAACACCAGCCAGGAGCCAGGATATGTGTGCGTAGGACCAAGGAGAAAAAATACAACAATACATATTGGTATTTCAGAGGCCCTGAAGTGTTCTCGTTAAAGCCGCAGGCACAGTGGGAGGGAAAAGAAGACGAACAGGTGGAAATTGTAGATTAAAAGCTACAGAATAGTAATGTTTATATTAGAGTGGATAAAAGTTTGTTTAGAATTAAGAAATTATTATAAATAATTAGGAAAGATAAAGATTAAGATATGAGAATGCATTTCTCGTTAAAAAAATGCAGTATTATCTGGGTTTTCAAATAGCAAAAAAAAAGGGTAAAAATACTACAACTCTTGTCTCGTAATTATGAAAGGACTTAACCCAAAAGAACCTTAATTTTCTTTTAATAATTTCTGAGTTTCATATTCTATAAAATATATTGTTATTAAAAAAGATTCTTCTTATTAAATAATTTCCTTTTTAGCTTCTTAATTTTCCCTGACAATTTACTTTTCTTTCGCACTATTTGCGGCTTTCTTCGTTTTCCCTGATGGGATATTTGCGCTGCATTTAAAGCTATACTGTCCTGGCAAAGGAGCGATGGCAACCGCAATTGCAACAACCAGAGCAGGATCCAGAAACAGAGTCAGGGACCAGAGACCAGAGCTGAGGCAGCAGCCCCGACCGAATACATTTTATATCATTTATTTCTGTGTACATGAATGGGTCTCGTTTCGCTGCACTCGCAACGCGTTACGTATACGCCGCGTAGTATCGGTTTGGTTTGCTCTTTCATTTGGGTTTGGGTTTTTTTCGGATCGGATCGGTTCGGTTCGGTTTGGTTTGCTTTTTCCCAGCGATTTCCCATTTGCATTCGCCGCCTTTCAGCAGTGACTCCCCGTCTGACTGGCACACGGAAGTGGAAGATGGCAATCGCATTGGCATTGAAATCGACTCCTCCTCCTCACTTTTTCCGTCGGTTACAACGGCCATTGTCAGTTTTAATTTCCCGTCTGGGTCCATATAATAATGATAAACACATTTTAAAATGTTTCCACCTATTGATTGAGTTTGTCAACGAAATGTTTCCATTATTAACAAGGGGGGCTTCTGTTTGGGGCGATTTCTGCTAATGTAATGTGTGCCTTGCACCTGAATATGAGTTCGAATAAATATATATATGAGGCCATGGAATGAGCTACAGCAGTTATGCGATATATATATATATATAGTAAATGGCAACAGCAGCTCTTTAAAGCAGCTTTCGAACTCAACAAGTGAACCAACTGCTAGCTCTTTACCTCGATAAACACTATTATTGTTGTAAGTGCTATAGTTGTTGTTGTTGTTGAAGTTGTTGGTGTTGTTGGTGTTGGTGTTGTAAGAGGGGATGTAGGGGGACTGACTCGGGGAGCTATAATTAGATCCCATGGGGTAAGAGTTCCTATACTGCTGCTTCTGCTGCTGCTGCTGCTGTTGCTGGTACCTTACATTACGACCTACATACACAGCATGAGAATATATAGTATATAGCATATATATATAAAGTGTAGTGTCTAATAGTCTAGTGCTAAATGCTTTATGCAGCCACAGTTGCCAAATAGTTTTCATTTAGTTGCTCACGTGGGTCGATCACAGGGGCGGGGGACCGGGGACGGAGAAGGTATAACGAGCGGAAAATTGTTTGTTTTAGTAAATTTCGCCAAAAGCATTTCGATAATTTCGATAATCTAAGGACTTGTTTTTCTCTGGGTTAGTTTCGATGCTCGCTTTCGATAAGTCATGTGCAAATTTATTTCGATCAATAAAAGTATATATATATATATAAATATATAAAACAGAAATCCGGTTAATACTATACAACATATCATCGTCTGTCTATCACTCTCATCATCATTATCAATCAATCATGGGCGTGGGGGCTGGCTAACAACAGGGGCTAAGGCTAAACTGGAGCCTATATACATGTATATATATGGTACAAAAAATATATCTCATTGGCTTAAGCGACTAGACCCATTCACCTTCTGACAGACAGCCGTCGTCATCAGCCTTACCTTGTTGGCCAGCGTTGCTGCGGGGCAAGGTGGCATAGGGATTCTGGCCACCGGGAGCGGGACGCGGCGACTGCTGCTGCTGCTGCGGTGGGTACGACACCGGCGACTTGGGAGCGGCGGCTCCGAAGGGACGAGCATAGCCCTGGTTTACCTTTCGAAGAGAGAAAGAGGAAGTCTTTAATTATTAATGTTTCATACAAGTTCGAGGGCTGCAAAAGAGCCCTCTTTTACTCTGGTTCATGGCCAACACAGTACAACACTTAACACAAGTTGGTCAGTTAGTTTTATATTCTGTTTGTTTTGGGACAATTCGGAGCTGATCTGAGCGAGCTGCGGCGCGAGCTGAGCGGAGCACAGAGCGTTGTACTTACTTGTTGGATTGATAGAAGTGATCTTTAATTTGGGGAATAGGTTCAGTGAGCAAAGGTAGAGCACATAACTGTTCTAGACTCTAATTTTGAATTCTTTTTTATATAAAAATCAAGGTAGTTTCTTTATAACAATGGTTTCTAAAAGGGATTACATAAAGAAAAATCAAATCAGAGGTAACAAAGTAAATTTAAAGTTCTTTCCTTACAAAAAACAACCTATCATTATAGAGAGAAGTTAATTAAGAGTTGAAGACTCTTTAAATATAATATATAATCTCTATCTAAGTTCGAGTTTTCCCTTCCCTCGCTCACTGTCCTCGACCTCAGTGGGTCTAACTGCAGGACAGGTGTGATATGGTTTACCTTGTAGCCCGGTGCCGCTCCTTTTCCAGGTGCCTGAACGCTGCGAATGACATTGCCCGTGAGCGTCACATACTCAAAAGGCTGATCGCCACCGCCAGGAGCTGCTAAGGGAGCTGGGTTCGTGTTGATTTGGCCATAAATTGAAGACGGCTCATCCGCCACGTTGGCCGACATAATGTCTGATGTTGCAAGTGTTGTTGCTGCTGTTGCTGCTGTTGCTGTTGCTGCTGCTGAGCTATCTGTTGCTGTTAAGGGTGCTGCTATTGGGGCAGGTGTTGCTGCTGTTGCTGTTACTGTTGCTTGGGGGCTTGCAACCTGATGTGGGTTAAATTTCAATTGATTAGCAAGTGTCGCCGTTAGCGCTGCCACAAGCGGCTGCTGTTGGTGCTGCTGTGACGCTGCAAATGGCTTTGCCGTTGTGTTGTTGTGTCTCTGTGTGGGCGGTGTGTTTGTTGTGTGTTGTGGTTGGATGTGGTTTTTGTTGGGTTGCTGCTGATGCTGCTGATGCTGCAGCTTGTTGGAGTACTCCTTCAGCATCTGGTTGTACGCGTTGTGTCCCTTGTTCTGCGTATTCATATCGTTCTCGTTCTGCAACTGCTGCGTTGCCTGCAGCCTGTAATTCGTCACGACGGTACTCGCCGGAGGAGGCGGTGGCGGCGGCGATGGTGGCATTGTGTAATTATCACCCTGTCCAGGAGCCACAGCAGCAGCAGCGGTAGCCGGAGCCAGCGGGGCAGCAACCACCTCCAGGGAGGTGGAGGAGGCGGATGTCTGGCGGGAGTGCTGGGGCGAGCCAAAACGATCCAGGGAGAGTGTGGAGCAGTAGCTTTGTTGGCTCTGACCCACACCACTCCCGCTCCCACTGCCGCCCACTCCCGAGGAGGAGGAGCCACTCGAAATGGACGACAGGCTGCTGTGCGTGCGCGTGTGCTGCTCCGGCTGCTGCTGCTGCTGTTGCTGGAGCTGGAGCTGGAGCTGGGCGGAGGGCAGTTGTTGCTCCGGGGCAGGTGGCTGCTGCAGTTCCTCCGACTCGTACTGCAGCAGCTGGGTGGGCGAGGGCGGCGGTGGCAGAGGCAGCTCCTGACTGCTCTCGGGCTCAGGCTGAATGGGGTTAATGCGGGCGGGGGAATGCGGACAGGCGGGCAGACAGGCAGGTAAAGGGGGTTAAAACAAAGGCAGTTAATTAAAATGCAGGCGGAATGCAAGTGGCACGCAACCTACGGCTGATGAAGTAAGCCCCTGTGAGTATATAACCTACTGTGCGTGTGTGACCGAGTGTGTGTGTGTGTGTGGTGTGCTAAAAATGGCTAATAGGTCAAGGTCAATGGGCGGGCTAAAGAAACCCCGCTTCCTTTTGAGTTATTGCACTCGCACTCGGTTATGCAACCTTTTCCCAGAGAACTCTCGAAAACTCTCTGCTCCAAAGATCACTGAAAAAAGAATCGATTTTCACTTGATTCGCTGGTCGTCGTTAATTGTCGTTTAACTAATTAGATTTTCCCTGCTGGACACTTTCCGTGGAGCGGTTCGGTCGCTTTCCTGCTGTCCGCTCGCCTGCGGACACAGTCACGGACACGGACACGGACACTTCGCGGACACGGACGAGATTGGGAACGAGAGATGCGCACTGGGCACAGGGCGCAACGAAACTGAGGCCACGGCGGCCAAAAAGCTGACAGACCATTGCAGCTGTATGTTTTTTATAGACTTTCAAATGAAAACAAAAAGAAAAACCTACAAAACAAGAAGAAAAAAAAATAGTAAGAATGAGTAAAAAGCAGCGCTTGGCATATATATTTAGCTTTCAGCAGCCATTGCACATTTTCGCGAAATGCGCTGGCCGCGGCAGAAACACTACAGAAAACTAGACAAAATAGTAAAATATACTATTATATATATTGTATATATATATATGCACTATTTATACCCCTCGCTGCAATCAATCCGGCCGTGTCGATCGGTTTGATTTGACATTCCCGTGCCAATGGGGAAGCACACACGGTTCGTCTTTGGTCCTCAATGAAAGCCCATTCCCATTGATCTGTTGCTTACCCAATCAGCCGTAGGTTAAACCAACAAAACCATAAACAATAATTCCATGCAAAAAACAAAAACAAAAACAGAAGACACACACAAAAACACAGAGAGAAAAGATGGAAACACAGGCAAATGCATTCAAAAAAATACTAAGGAAAATTACATTTCATTTCAATAATATATACATTGTTCAATATGTTTTTTGATATTTTTAAATATATAATATATCCATGAGAGATTTTCCTCTGTGTTGCATAAAACTTTTCCATTTTCATTTGATCGCTTTGCGGCCAAAGCAAAAGCAAAAAAGAAAAACAGTAAACAAGAAGCGTTTCTTGATAAAAATTGCTCAAGATGTTTAAACTTCTTTTGCGTTGGCAAAAACTTTTTGCATTATATTGCATTTCTCTCCGACTCTGCTCTCCTTGTTCGGAAGATGATTTTTAACATTTTAGCATATGTCGGAGATGCTCGGTCGCTGCCGGGCGAAATGTGCTGAATTTATGCAAACATTTTTGCTGGCAATATGATAAAATTGAATAGCGTCAGCAGGTGAGAGGGCAGGGTTCAAGATGCTAGCAAGGGGAATCCCCAGCCTTCGTTTCGCTTGCCACTTTTGAGCGAGTGTCTGTGTCTATATCCATATATATCTGTGTGTTCTCGGTGAGTGTCTGACATTGTTTTAGCCACGGCAGGGAAAACAGTTAACAGAAGGGGAAGTAGTGGTCGAGTAGGAGGAGTTCTTCACTTACCGGTGCCGGGGCTGGGGTGGAGTTGCCATTGGAGTAGCCATTGGAGCCACCGCCATAGCCGTGCGAGTTCAAGGCCGACGAGATGGTGTTGGCGCTCAGCTTGGTGTTGCTGCAAAGGATAGCATATATAAGTATCAAATATATATAAATCTGATCAGTAATTGCCTGTCGAAAGTCACCTAATTGCCCCCCTGAGGAGAGCCTTTAATTTGACATCGTTTTAAAATTGGCAAACAGAGCACACAGGAAACCCAACAAACAAATTCCAAATGCCAAATGCAAATTGCCAACTGTCACCGGTTGGATATTTTTGACACACCTCCCCCTCTAGGCGTTCCTCACACATTACAAGTGCATTCCCAATTCGTGGGCCATCGTTTTAGCCGGTTCGCTCGCACACACATATGTTGCCAATTCATTTATTAAAAATTTGCGGCAGAACCCATGACACGTCAGCAGAGCAATCAGTGTTGCCTCTTTCATTTCCAAAATATATATATTGAGGGTAGAGTGAACAAACCAATCGCAAAAGAGCATAAAAGGCTATAGGGATATAGTTGGACATGGAGTTACCAAGATTGAGAGATACCCTACAGGTTAAGGTATATGATATGGGGTTTCTTTTTGAAAATAAGTAGAGTTTACACCAAGATGCTTATTGAAATTTAGTAAAATATCCTATATTTCACTATAGAAAATCATAATGTATATATAACCCATTGGAACCCCTTCAAAGAGCATCACGAATTGGCACTCTGGCATGTGTGTAAATACCCGGTTTGAGCATGGACGATTTTTCATCGCCATCATGTCAGAGGCATATATATATTTTCAGCATATAGCGAATGTTCTGAATTTATTTATATTTCATTTTCACGTGAGCCCTTCTCCTCTCTACCTTTCGCTGACCAATTGGCCGTGCAAACGACACCCGAAAAACAAAAAAAGGAAAATTTATAGAAAACATGGGGAATTACGCTCCGATCACTTACGGCTTGATGGGTACAGGGACATAGCCCTCAGTGCCGGCGGGTGGATTGTTGATGGCCGCCTGCTTGGCATGGATGTCGCAATACAGCTTGTTGTTGAAGTTGTAGTATCCTTGGTTCTTCAACGAGGTGCCGCAGGTGGCACACTTAAAGCACTCCACGTGCAGATTCTTGTCCTTGATGCGAACGAAAACGCCACTAGAAATGGTTGAGGAGGAACAAATCAATTAGTTAGGATATAGTAATTAACACAAATAGTTCGAGAAGCTCTTCAGGGGTTTGGGATTCTCTTAGTAAGCTTCTAAACTCCTTCCCAATTGACATCCCCTGAAGAGCTTCCCGAAGAAACACTCAATCGATGATTGATTACTACTGATTAATATATATATATATATATGTATATATAGTTCTCTCGATGCATTTGTGTGCACACACAGCGAAACAGTCCCCGAGCGAATCTGTTAGTGAATCCATGTTGGGAGGTAATGCGAGAAATATGTAAAAAGCTATAATGCATTATCGAATTAAGCCCCGATGGCGAGCCAATTAAATTGGCATACAAATTAATACAAATGATGGTTCCCATTGGTCTGGATCAGGAGCTATTGCTGTTGCTGTTGCTGGAGCTCAGGTGCTGGGGAATGGCAGACAATTGACTTCGGAATAAAAGCGAATTAAAATGCAGCAGACACACGCGGTGTGGGGGGAGGAATGAATTATCATTGAACGGCGCACACACACACAACAAATCCTTACACAATGCCCACGCCGCACAGCTGGCAGGCCGGATGTCCGCTGGCGGAGAGCGGACGTGGTCGGCCGTCCTGGTCACTGGCCAGTGCCGCCGCCGCTGCCTCCATTTCGGCCTTGTATTCGGGACCCTGGAGGCCGGGACAGATGGGCATCACAATGATGCGCGGATCGGGCTGCTCCTGATCCTGTCTGGGCTGCTCCTCTTTATCCTTGGGGGCGACAGGCAGACTGGGCCTGTGCGGAGCTGCCGGCGCCAGCGTGTTCGATTGCAGCGGCAACCCAATCCGTTCATCCGGCTGATGGTGCAGCGGAGTTCGTCGCTCGTTGCCACCAATGGCATGGCTCTGTGTCCAGTAAAAGTTGGCGGGACTGTGGGGTTCTGCATCATCATCATTATCGTTGGGTTGGAAAAACTCAGTCAGTTATATTTTGGTAAATTCATGAGGGGAAACCTGCCTAGAGTCTGCTCCTGAAAACTGAAACCTTCAAGCCACCCCCACTAATTACTGGGAATTAGTTACTAATGAGGAAGCACCGCTGCTGCTGCTGTTGCTGCTGTTAGTCAATGTGCATACACAAATGCTGATTTACACTTATGACCGGGTATTCAATGGACCTTGTAAATCGGTTTAGCTAAGATTTTGTTTAAAATGTCCATACAGGAACTTCAATTTAAAGGATTTGAATAGAGTCTTTGTTCTACAATTGATTCTTGGGAAAACATTGAACATTCATGACTTCGATTTTTAGATTCTTCTTTATTATAGAAGAATATATCAAATTTTTCAGTTTCTAAACAAGTATTTAAAAGATCATTTTCTACGGAGAGAGCTCTGACATATCATTTATGACATACAAACATATTTACAATCGTTTGCGAATCTTATTAGTTTATAGAGTTTCATTAATATTCAAACATCATAACAATCTCTTGAATAATTACAAGGTAAACTCTGATTTAAAGACCATTGAATACCCTAGATTATTTTACAGGGTTAGTTAGATCGAATCCTTACGACACTTACGTAATGAGGCGCTCGCATTCGGTGCAAATGTTCTGGCCAGTTGGAAGTCCGCCGGTGCTCGGGGGCTTGGGGGTGTTCACGGGGGCGCTGACATGGCGAGTGGCGCTCGATTGTTGCTGGTGTTGGTGTTGGTGTTGCTGGTGATAGTGTTGTTGATTGTATTGCTGTTGTTGATGCTGTTGCTGTGGTGCCTGATATTGTTGTTGCTGTTGTTGTTGTTGTGGTGCATCATGCTCGTAGTGGCCGAATGCTGTGCGTGTGTAGTATAGTGTTGTGATGGCACGCAGTGTTTATGAAAAATAGTTTAAATACAAACAGGAGTTATAGACAGAAAGATAGATCGATGGTTGTGTTGTAAGGGTAAACTTTAGCAGTAAATGAGGGACAGAAATGGCACTCTAACAAAGCTCATTTTGAAGGTACAACATTTCTAAAAATACCTCCAGAACAAATCTAATAAAATACTACAAATATAAGCAACTCAAATCTATAACTACTTCGATGTGTGTATATAAGTATGACCCCCTTTCTATCAATCGACTATCAAACTTTCTAGCTCTATAAACCTCTTCACATGACTCAAAATAATACTTTAATATCTACGACTTTTTAGGTCCGTGCAGGTGACTTTGAAACTGTTTGGTTAATATATATATAAAGATATTTTATAGACATGACTGGGTGGTAGGTAGACTTTCGACTGTGTGTGGCGACTAGAACTTTGTCTTCACATAGAGAAAACGAAAGTCCATCTCCTTCTGCTGGTCTAATGGGGTTAAACGACATATAAAAAACAAAACAATTTAGTAACACATTACACAGCGCACATTTCAAGGTCCCTGCTGGGCATTTTTAAAAATAAAAATAAAGATTGTCTAGAACTTGGCAGACTGCCCATAGCTACCCTCCCCCTGTCTTTCTAATCGCCCAGGCCATCGCTCACAAACGGATTGACACCGCCGTTCAGGAGGAGCAGCAGGCGGGCCAGCTCATAGTTGGCTTCATCTTTACCTGGAGTGGACTGGCCGGTCTCCTCCTCGCGCAGGAACTTCAACACCTCGGAGCGATCGCCCTGGTATTCCTTCTCGTTCTTCTTGAAGTTGACGCTGAAAGAAAGGAGAAATTATTCATTATTTTGTGAAGACATTTTACTAACTTCTTTTCAATTTCCTTTACTTTAAAAGGGATAAAGCTGTCTAATTGCTATCTAACAACTTCTGACAGCTGAATTTAAGTTCCCTTTAATTCCTAAGACCCTTAAATAATGCTAGACAACCAAGAGTTAAAGTAAATTCCCACGATTTGGCTAAAATCTAAGGGACCCACAAAAGTAAATGAAGCTAAGGGTGGTACTATGTAGCATACTTTCCCGCGCGGCACACTCACTGCTCGGACGCGGCCCGAAAGTGTGCTGCACTAAGTGAGTGAGTGGCGAGAACAAGATTGTTACGCATCCGCCACGTTGGCCAGAAATCCCCCAAAGAAATTAAGCGCTAAAGGCGAGCACCATAGGTCCCACGCGTGCGTTTTTTGGCCCCCAAGCCAAAGTCGACAACTGGCACCGAACCGAGCACTTGGCCCCGCGACTTCCACAGAAGCCACAGCCACGGCTATCATTTGCCAAATTGCACTCACCAGTTGGACCGGCCTGCGGTTGTTTTTGCGTTCTGCGTTTATTTCTTTTTGCTTTCCCTCTTTTTTTTATTTTGTTCCTTCGAACAAAGCAGAGAGTCGGGAAAAAGGAAAATTTTTAAGTAAAACTTTTCCCAGATATTTTGCACTGTCACGACTGCGGCCCAGACTGTTGTTTGTTGCCTTTCCTTCACAGCTCTTCCCTCACCCTGAAACATCTTCTTCTCGCAGAAAACTTACCCGAGCACACCGCCAGCCAAAACCTCCGCCTGAGCCGAGAGTGTTTCCGCAATAGATTCATCGCTGTAAATGCCAACCGGGGTGTTGTATTGTTTATTGACAATGCTCTTCACGCCGCCATCGCCGCCATTGGTCTGCGGGGGAAAACAAAAAGAAAACGTGTGAGAGGTGGGCGATATTACATGGGAACTTCTGCCGGGACTGGAAAAAAGTGTGTGTGAAATGAGCGAAGTTTCTCGGAAAAATGAATGGAGAAAACGAACAAAAGTACACCCCCACGCACTTATCGTAATTGGGAATTATTGTTCTCAATTGCTGGGTATTCCTTTGCACTTCTCACAAAGTTGATCTGATTGAAATTGAACCTTTGTGTTCATTTATAATTTAATTCGAATGATCTTTTAGCCAGAGGGATAATAATCTTGTCTTAAAACGTACATTTTAACTTGGATTCTCAACTTTAGTTCAAATAACAAGTGTCAGAAGCAAGCCTTATCTTTGTTATTTATATTAGACTATCTTTGATCCAGTCCAGCTGTCAGAAAACTCTCTATTGAAAGCCGAGCATTTCCGCTTCGTTTCTCTTCATTAACTAAAATCATTATCATAAGTACTCCCTTTACGTTTACTCAATATTGATTTAAATAGAGCTTCTTGGTTAATACCAAATTGGTTGCTGTTCGTTTGATATTCGCATATCAAATTATATATACACCAAAGCCGGAGGTGTTTACCAATATCTTAATATAATTTAAGCAGAACTATGGACATTCACATGGCCTTAAATCACATTAAGCTGCTGCCTTTCCAACGACTCTCATAATGTTGTTCCTGAAACTTGGCACATAAAATGATCCCAAATCAATTTAATGTCTGTTGTTGTTGTCATTGGCTGAAGCTATTATTATACAAATTCATAACAATAAAATATACGTAAATGTATGCATATCACACACATGTATACCCTCTGAGATGGGGAGAGAGAAACATTGAGTATTACTATGCATGGCATGGCACAGCTGAGTGTGTGTGTGGGTGTGTGGGGACCTTTTGCACATTAATTCTTGCCAGGCAAATAATCCTAGCACTCATATTCATTACTCATTCTGACACTTTTCAAAACTACGCACAAACAAACTGAGCGTCAGACAGACAGACAGACATCGTATAAATGCAAATGTTGTCAACTCATACACAGGGTTCGGTGTAAGGGGTCCTCCTGGGCTCTCTAGTCCTTGCTCCTAACCCAACCGAAAATGAAATGAATGAATATGAAAAGCCACAGACAGACAACAAAATAAACGCAAAGTGCGGGGTTTCGGAGAGACGGGAAAGAAGGAAGGTTGGTCTAGAACTAACTATCAACATCATTGGTCATCATCAGGACGTCAGCATCAGCTGGGCCACTAAAACTTTCCGCATTCGCAACTTTGGGTTGCCAGTTTATGAATTTTATAAATGATGTGGCCGAGGGATGGCACGATGGCATGGTGTGACTTGGCATGGGGGTTATACTTTGCGTGATTGCAAATTAGTACACTCACGAAGGGACGGGCCGCGTTGTTGTAGCCACAGCCGATGTGCTGGCTGTCCTGTTGTTGGTGAGCCAGAGAGGTCTTCGTCACCGTCTGCAGATACGGTGAGTTGGGCTGCGGCACATTGCCCGTGGGCGTCACATGCGGCCGCCAGGTGGAACCACCGCTAAAGGAAGGGACAAAAAGATGCATTAGGAAAGATAGTTTACATGGAGAGTTATCTCTAGCCACTTACCGCTGCACTGTGATGACAAAATTGTTACCGGAGCGCACCACAATATCCTGGGCGTCCTTGTGCCTTAGATTGAAGACATCCACGTCGTTGATCTTGATCACAGCATCGCCGGGCTGCAGGCCAGCCTGCTCAGACAAGCTGCCGGCGTTAACCTGGAAAAAAATTGAGAAAGAAAAACATGCCCAGTTAGCCATCAATCAACTCAACTACGCTTCGATTTCCCCGGACCATAACTCAGGGGCGTAAAATGCCCAATTGGCCGGACTGGGTGCTTTAAATTTATTATGCTGCAACTGCAAAAATTATGAGCGGCAACCCGAATCCGAAATCCGAATTCGCGGTGGCGCTGACTTTGCCTGAATATTCCATCTGAACATGCAGATTCAGATATATAGAAATATATACATATGTATATCTGGCCAGCAACTAGCGGCCAAAGTTTAGTTTTATAGGCGCTGTTGCTTTGTGTGCGTTTTGGGTGTTTGTTTTCATCATTTATTTATTTCCGAATATATGTCGGTAGTAGGTTGCTCCGCGGGGAAATCGTGCAGGAAAAATGCCATAAATTTGCGCGATTAAAATCGTAAAAGTTACGCCGGAAAATCTTCTATATGGCCAACGGCTGTGTGGGTGTGTGTTTTGGGTGGGTGGAAGGCGGCAGATGAAGCGGATTTTCAAATTTCAAACTTGAAATTGAAATGGCAGGCAGCAGTGTGACTCAAGCTCTAGGGATTCCAAATAACTATTTATTACCAAGTTTAGGGAAAAGTTTAAACAACGTGTATACAAAACTCAAATAATAAATAATTTACTAGTTTTTTTTCCCCTCAAACTTTTTAAGCATATGGAAATGTAAAAAGTTTTCCATGAAAGTGGAACATTTTAGAGCTTACAATTATTAGTTAACTATAAGAAGTAATTACAGACGTAGTTGACCATTAATAATTCCCCAGAACATCTGGTTTCGACTCCTCCCTCTGTGTCCCTTCAGCTCCATTTAAACTCAACCTTCTTTTGGGCACTTTTAAAGCCGCTTAGAATGAAAGTCACTTGCCCTGTCAATGTCGCTTCATCAGCCAAACTAACCAACTAAGCACACACTCAGTCCCGCACACACAGAGATACACTCATCAAGCTAAAGTCCACAACCGCAAAATACAGCCACAGAGAGAGGGAGAGAGAGGGAGAGGAGGGAAGCTGTATTGCTCCTGTTGCTCCTCTCGGGGTCTAGGCCAAAGCCAGGCCAGGCCAGGGAGGGAGCAGCTGGAGCTGGAGCTGGAGACCCGAAACGGGGGCTCAGGTGTGCCCCAAAATTATACGCGCCGTGCACGTATCCACTTTGGCAAATTGTCTGTTTATCAGACAACTGGCAGGCCCAGTCAGTCAGTCCGTCCATCCGCCTCCCCAAAAAACCCCCCTTCGACTGCGACCATGGTCGGACGGTTTGTATTTGCACAAAACCAAGGGGGGAGAGAGCCGACGCTCGTGCAAAAACAAACACAAACAGAGACACTCGCACACAGATTCACCGCGGCCCGTATGTGTGTGCATAAATATTTCATTGGCGCACTCACCAAGCGAGACACCTAAATTTTGTAATATTTACAAAGTTGCCAAAAAAAAAAAAGAGAGAATATATATAAAACACACGTCGAAAACCGAATCGAATCGGATCGAATCGAGGCGCAGCGAATCGGAGCAACCGAGCAGAGCCGACAGGTTAACCGAGCCACAAAAATGTGCACAGAGAGAAAAACTGAGAGACTAGAAAGTCAAGGAACATTACAGATAGCTTTAAATGAAAGTATCTTAAGGAAAATGTCATTTAAATATCTATATAAATAATTTTTAAATATATGTCAAGGAAATTTTTTCATAGCTTTCAATGTATTTTAAGGGAATGTCATATTTAAACTCCTTTCTATGTATCACAGTATAATTTTGATCTCAAAAGTAGAAGACTTGGTTAAAAAACTGTTTTTTGATCTGGAAATGGTCTTCAATGAAAGTATCTTAAGGGAATGTCTTATTTAAACTCCTTTCTATGTATCACAGTATATTATTGATTTAAAAAAGTAAAAGACTTGGTTAAAAAACTGTTTTTTAATCTGGAAATGGTCTTCATCAGTTATTCATTCTACTGAAGTTACAGGTTAGTTACTGACGAATGTAATGTGTTCCTCCCGAATTCATCAAATTTATAAACATTTATATTATGCTCTCTCAATTTGTATGTGAATTCAATAAGTAACCTTTAATTATACTTTCCCACAGTGTATTCCCTTTTCCTGTAGCCAAAGCCAAAGCCAAATCCAAGTCCATATCCGACGTGTGCCGTTGACATGTTCATTTTCTTGTTGCCGGCTGGCTGTGGGGAAAATTGAAATTTCTTGGCCAAGGTGTTTTCCAGACAGCAACAAATAAGTCCTGCTCTGCTTACCCCAGCTCCTGCATTTGATTCCCCATTTCAGCCCCATCAGTCAGGCAGTCAGTCAGCGAACCAAATCAAAGCGAATGCGGTCCCAAAAATATATTTTTTTTGTTTTCGGCAAAAGCTTCGTGGGTCCGGGAATATTGACATTTGGACAGTTTTATGAGTACCTGCGATCCGTGTTGTTTGTGTTCCCCCGTTCGAATAAAGCTATCTGTGCGGCAGTTGGACATTTGTCAGCTTTATAGCATTTGCGGCTGGCCGACAATTGACAGAGCATTTGTTTTTTGCACTGCAGAATGACTTATGAGCATGTGGAGATGGGACCAGTCCGAAATGGTATTACGAGGAAGCTTTTGGCCTTCGTCCTCTGGGCATACATTATTAGTTTTGCCTGCCTGGGTTCAGAGATCCCACAGGTCGCTGTTTTGTTGCGAGTAACCAGGGGTACCTCGATACCGTAGACCTTAAAGAGAATATCAGACAACTGAGAACAAAAAATCCTGATTCTAGAGTATGACAGTTATGCTGTAGTTTCAAAGTAAGAGTCCTCTTGACTTTCACTTTAAAGCTCTTCTCTGCGCTTCTCCAAGGATTTAAAGCCCCCTCTCTGCGCTTCTCATAAATTGTAGTGCCTCTCTCTGCGCTTCTCATAATTTCAGAATCCTTAAAAAACATCATTCATTCTACTCATAAACATGTTTTAAGGTATACTCTCCGCTCTCCCTATTTTTAGCCTCCCTCCACAGAAGAAGCAGGACATTAATGCGATGTCCTGGCACACTACATGTGTGTGTGTGTTTGTGTCCTCCCAGGGACGAAAACAACTAAATGAGGAGCGAAGCAGCAACAGCAGCAGCAAATGATGATTTATACTGCAGCTGGCCAGAGCTTCCAACCCGTGGACGTGTGGGTGAAACATGGCTGGCAGAGAGTAAATGTTGTAAAAATAATTTCATTTGCATTATCATCAGCATTTGCCTGGGCATGTATTTAGCATTTTAGTCCGCATCTGCATATGTATGCTCTGTGCTACTCCAGTCTGTCCCACTCGAGAGGAGCTCTTGAAATTATATGCGTTATGACAAATACTAGTCAGATATGGCCAAGTGGCTTTCATGGCGTTGTTGGCTTGACGCTGGCAGCTTGACAAACAATTTTCTCAACAAAAGTATGAAGAAATTCGTCTCGTTGTTGAAGTGTTTGATTTGCCAGAGACGAGGCAAAAATATATATTGCCTCAGCATTCTAGAGAATCGGAAAATCCATAAAGCAAATGAAATTCTGTGGACCAAAACCGAGACCGAAGCCAAAGCCGGAGCTAAAGGCTCGTAATCAAGTCAACTAAGCGCTGCTCAAATCCATTCAAGTGCATTAAAATTGAATTTCGTTCAGTACACACACTCGTCCAGGGTACAAAATAACAACAAAAGGATCAAAAACAAAAACCAAAAACCGAAACCAAGTGCACTCTCTTGAAGAGAATGAAGGGAGACGATGCTCACACATTGTATGCAAAATATTTATGTTGATAAATCAAGTTTGCTTTTGTGGATTAGGTGTATCTCAAATAAATTGAATTTGCGGCGTAAATTAAGCCAGAACCAAGAGCCAGGACAAACACACACATACATATATGTATATACAAAAGAGCGTTCGCAGGACACTGCGCAGCCTAACGGCCTGTGCCAACTTTTGCCAAGTTGTCGGCCAAGTTATGAGCTTGTTTAATTGAAAATAAATCTGCTTAAAGCCCCAGCTGAGGCGAGCAATATGACAGCCACACACTCGAATTTTTCACCCCACCCTCTACCACACCACCCCCTCTCTGGGGCCCGTTAAAAGCGAAAGAGAAATTGTGGAAAAGTCGTAAGTAGAGCGAACATGAACAAAGCAGATAAAATACAAAATACTGCGGAAATGCAGCGCAAATACAATGAATCTCAATGTGTATGAATATGCATGCCGCATCACTCATACGCCGCATGGGCCCCTCTCCCCCCGAAAGCCCTCGCCCAATGGTAAATCACTAGAGAAGAGCGGAAAAGAGAGAATGGGATCCCGAGAACTCTGCCACTGCTGATGCGGCTTTCTGGCACAAACAAATGGCAACCACAACACTTGACCAGCCCGCGAATGGGAACGGGAATGGGAACGGGAACGGGTATGGGTATAAAAGTGGAAGCTGGTCTGGTATCCCGATGGGCAAACACAGTTTGCAAACTAGAGTCTGAGCTGGCAGCGATTAAAGCAAGCCAAAGAGTGAATGAAAAACAGAAACAATTCACTACCACTTCGTTTTCGCCTGGCAGTTTAAAGTGCTCCTTGTGATCTCTTTTGGGCTTTAAGCTTCAACTACTATCTATATTTTTTCTCCTTTGCCCAACAGCAGCAGCAGCAGCAGCAGCAGCATTCAATTAGATTGGAAAGTCACCAAATCACTTGCTAATGGCTTTGGCTTTGACTGTGACTACTGGCTGCTGCTCCTCAAACCATCATCGTTGCTATGCCTTTCAGGGCTGACCAGACAGACACACAGACAAATAATATTTATTTATTGATGGCGAAATATGGGCGGTAGCAACTGCAACAGCAACATCGTGGCACCCGCCAAACTGTCGGCAACATTTATAAATTATGATTGCAATCAACGTTCAACAAAAGCGCGTTCCACCATCAGTAGACCAGGCTGTGTCCAGGACAAGTTGTAAGTTGGTTTGA